AGACTTGCAAATCGGGACATACGGAGATCGCCTCGTCAAGCAATTCGCCTGATCGCTCAAAGACAATGCGTTTGATTGGTACATTGATTTGGGGGCAAACTCTATTGATAGTTGGAAGCACTTAGAGGAAGAATTTATCAACCGCTTTTACATTACTCGAAGAACAGTCAGCATGATTGAGCTCACCAATTCCTTCCAATGGATGAAGGAACCTGTCATCGACTACATCAACCATTGGAGAAATTTGAGTCTTAATTGCAAGGATCGACTGCCTGAGACATCAACTATTGAATTGTGCATCTAGGGAATGCAATGGGGACTCCAATATATCCTTCAAGGAATTGAACCTAAAATTTTTGAAGAGTTGGCCACTCGAGCACATGATATGGAATTGAGAATATTTGCAAATGGAGTTGAAGAACCTTCATCCAAAAGTCGTATCAACTCAATGAAGAATATGTCGAACAAGAACAAGAAAATCATGACAATGGGGGCAAGTCTTTTGATGAAACAACATCCTATGCAATATGACAAGTCAAATCAAATTAAGTACTCCTTGACACGAGTTTAAAAGGTCTATATGTCCTAATGAAGTACTCCTTGACACGAGTTTAAAAGGTCTACATGTCTGAATCAAACGAAATACTCCTTGACACGAGTTTAAAAGGTCTACATGTCCAAACCAAATGAAGTACTCCTTGACACGAGTTTAAAAGGTCTACATGTCCAAATCAAATGAAGTACTCCTTGACACGAGTTTAAAAGGTCTGCATGTCCAAATCAAATCAAGGCTCCATGATACGAGCATAAACTATCTACATATTCAAATCAAATCAAGGCTCCTTCGTACGAGCATAAACTATCTACATATCCAAGTCAAATCAAGGCTCCTTGATACGAGCATAACCTATCTATATATCCAAATCAAATCACTTGATAAGAGCATAAACCATCTACATATCCAAGTCAACTGAGCGCTCCTCGATACGAGCATAAACTTTCTATATGTCCAAATCCAAATCAAGGCTCTTTGATACGAGCATAAATTATCTACATATTCAAATCAAGTCAAGGTTTCTTGATACGAGAATAAACTATCTATATATCCCCAAATCAAGTCAAGACTCCTTAATACGAGCATAAACTATCTACAAATTTAAGTTAAATGCTCCTTCAACACGAGCTTAAACTACATATATTTCTCCTTGTCCACATGAGTATAAACTGTGCACGACATCCCTCAAAATGATATATTTTGAATTACGTTATGACTTGATCCCTTTATAGGGTACGTACGCAACTTAGAATTTCTCTAAGTTCAGTCATGATTTCAAAGATGTATGTGCTTTTCTAGATCAAGCTACAATTGAAGTTAAGCAATTATCGAGATTGATTCACTCCAAGACGCATTATCTGTGCACAAGTATCGAGAAGACATTTGTAAACGCATATAATTAATTAATTGGTTAATTAAATTAGCCAAATAAATTGTGTCTAAATTAAATTATATCTTGTCTTGCAAGACAAGTCATGGAGATAAATATCAATTAATTCTTGGCCAATTGTATTGTTTCTTCTCTTCCAAGTTATAAGATATAAATATCAATTTAAAGAGAGCCAATCAAATCGCGCCACGTCATCAAGAAGACTTTATGTAGGACTCTTATTCTACCAATATAAATAGAGACCCGCCCAACACAATTCAAAACATAACTCAAGAAGAAGAAAAACCGTAGGAGAAAATTCTCTCTACAATATTCAAGTCATCTTCATCAAATTCAAGTCGTGCTTCATCAATATCAAGTCGTTCTTCATCAAATTCAAGGCGTTGTTCATCAAATCGAGGGCGCTCTTCAACAAATCAAGATCGGTGGAAGATTGAAGGGCCAAATCCATCAAGAACTCTAAGATCTTCAAGTCAAAGCTCATCAAAGTTCAGCGTTCGATCCGAGATTCAAGTCGCAAGACCCTCAGAAACATTATTCAAGTTCAAAATCAAATTCGGAGAAGATCAAGTCAACGACTTGTCTCCGAAATTCAAAGTCAACATATATTGTTCTTGAGAGAAGAATCAGAGGATTAAATTAGAGTCTGTAAACCGCAATATTTTTTTTAATTCAATAAATTATATTTGTGCAAGTTTTTCTTGTTTGTTAAATTGCAGATAAGAATTTGTTGCTACACCCGGCTTACGTTTTGGTGCAGGGTCACATTTGACCCCGGCTTTTGATTTGTGCGGGGTCGATTCTGAACCCGGCTTTTGATTTGTGTTGATCGCTACCTTCCTGAGATGATTATCAAGATATCCATCTGGTGACAAAAGACCTCTTGAATTTTCCTTGTTCTTGCTCAATATACTCCGAGAAATCCAATTAACAATTAGTATACAATCTAGCATCAGCGAAACATTTGCATTTCAATTTAATGACCAAAATGTGGTAAAGATATATAATTGTGCTCACATACATATATGAATCCCCAATAAATAAATTGAGTATGCAGATGCATCATCACAATTCACACCTGCATCAGAACACACCCATTTGAACTTTTTGCATCTTTAAAATCAGATCCAAAGGGCACGCATTTCAAGCAAATGCAATATTCAATTTTGCCACAGTGGCATTTTTCATCCCTCTAACAAAATGCATCAAACTAGAAAAGCCTTAACACACTATAATAGGAATAATGTGACAAATAAAATGTAGATAGCATAAAATTCCAGTTATGATTAGCTGAGTCGTCTTTGTAATCCTACAAATTACAGTCATGCCTTCACAAATATGTCATATACACAAAAATATAAGTAACCCAGCAATACCCACATTTTATAATCTATGGGATATTGTTATTGCACTCTTTGAAGGGTAAAAATAAATAGAGAATTTAATTCATCATTTGACATTTGTAATATAAATAACATTTTTGACATTTGTAATATAAATAACACTTCAAAAGACGAAAATGTATTAGTAATTTATCCAATTCTCAAAAAGTACTAATAATGGCCCATGCAGGTCTCGAACCTGCGACCTTCGCGTTATTAGCACGACGCTCTAACCAACTGAGCTAATGGGCCTTTTGATGTGTGATTATAACATTAGCATATTGATCATTCCAACTATTTCATAGCTTTAATTGCCTCCATAAATATTATTGTGCCAAGTGCTTACCAACAGACTACCTTATCATATAAACAAAAAACTAAGAAAATTGAACTAAGTTTTCTATTTTATCATATGATCTATTTCCTTATTCACATCGTATTAATATTTGGATCATGTAAGACTTCATTTTGGTTTTTAATTAATGTTAAGGAGTTCATCTAAAAAAAGGTTAAATACAAATTGCTCCTATATACTATCAATATTGCCGCTATAAAATGTGACAATGTGGCTCTTGCCGTCAAGCCATGTTAGAGAATCCGTCTATTTCTAGAGTTGACCGGTCATTGCATTATTTGTTAGACAATTTCGGATGAAAATACGCCTTTCGTTGTGTATAAAAGGTGTGCCTTTTTCTTTCTCTGCGGTACTCAATTTACTCCCAGTTTTTTTGGGCTCACCTCAATATTTTTTTTAATAGGGAGATGCCAAAACTATTCTGCACCATTTGAGAAAAGCTCATTCCTTCAATCACCCATTTTTCCAATTATGCTCGTGCCACCTCATCAACACTATCACCAATTATGTCCATGCCACCTAATCAGCCGTTTTTTTTTTTTTTTTAAATGTAGTTTTTTTTTCCTTTCGTTTTTTAACTTTTTTTTCTCTATTAGGTATATTACTCGACTATGAGATATAAGCATAGTCGATTAAGAAAATGACTATTAAAAATAAATAAAAAACACAACTATGTAAAAACGAAAATCGACAATATTTTTACATAACAAATAATCTATATATTATATAAAAAGATGATCTACGCCCTCTTTGAATGACATGTGGCAAAGTCCAATGTTATTTTCTCAAATCGCTTAGTTGGCACGCAATTGATGATGTGTAATACTCAATTGCTTATTAGCCATTTTAATCTTGGTATGTTTTTAAGTTCTTTCCTATTTAACATTTGCACATTCATTTAAAAATTGCCACATATACATATTCTTTTAGAATTTTACATTTTAAAAAGTAAAAAAAAATATTATTTCACTTAATTAATTTTTCAAAAAACGTAATATGCTTATTTTTTTCGTTATTTTGTTTAAATTTGTAATTAAAAGAATTATGTTAATAAATTTGTGGTTTGAAAATAATATTTACACACACACACACACACACACACACACACACACACACACACACACACACACACACACACACACACACATATATAGGGTCATTTATATAAATGGTGTAATAGTAAAAGTCATTAACAAAAATGGTGTGGTTTTTTTTCGAATTTATGAAAGTGGCGTAAAACTCCACTCCTAGAGGCGATTTCTACCAAAAATCTGACAAGGCAAAAATCGCCTCTAGGAGATGTGATTTTGTTTTGTTTTTTTTTTTTTTAATCCATATATATATATATATATATATATATATATATATATATATATATATATATATATATATATATATATATATATATATATATATAATATTAATTTTTTTTTCTAAATTAAGAATTTAAAATTTAACGTCATACATAATTAAATAAAAATTAGATAAATGTAAGAATACATAGATATCAAACACACAATGTCAACTACTAAAAACAAGAGCATCAATGACGTCCGAGATGTCCACTGGTCCCACATCTAGGTGGACGCCTGTTTCTACGCACTCTTCCCCCTGGTTCTTGCGCAATATCCTCTTCAATAGCGTCGGCAACATAGTTATCGGTAGAATAACTTTGAGGTGATTGGAGGTGATAGGGAACGAGAGAAACATTGAAATGCCTATGTGTAGGCTGGTCACCTTGGTAATATCCTAAACTGAGATCCAAAAATTCACTACCTGAATACATGTTCATGGCAGGCTGGTATGGAGTTGCTGGTGTCGGAATATAAACATCACCAGGAGAACCGGGATAAGTACCGGGCTCATTTCGAAGTGTGGATGGGCCGGCCTCATCTCGATATGAGGAAGGACCGGCATAATCTCGGTACGTGGAAGGACCGGTCACATCTTCATCTCGGGAGGTGAAATCATTCATTTCTCTTGTAGACCTTTGAGTGCGGTCGTGAGTTCTCATTCTTCCTCCATCTGAGGCACCCATAGAAGGCATCCCGGTCCTGTTGAGCATATTGATCACATGCTGCATTTCTGGCATATTGGTGTTCATTGAGGCTAGTCGAGTAGCCTGAAAAAAATTATAAAATAAGTTATAGAAATCGAGTAGTTGTATGTAATTGCATTAGTGACATAAAATTACGTACCACCAAATTCATAATTGTCCGATCTCCAGTTTGAAAACCAATGCTCGTCAAATCGTCAATCGGTGATATAAAACGACGAGTGTGCTCATCATACCATGCCTCATAACAACCCTTTGTATCTTGTCCATTGATTGGTTGAAATCGGACGACAGTCTGAAATCTTTGTTGCCATTTAGCAACATATGTACTCAAATACTCGCTCCAATCCCGACCCGATCGACCTTGACGAGTCAAATCATATAATTTGTTGGAAATAACAACATCTGTAGGATGTGACGGAATTGGCTGGACCATCCCGAACTGTCGTAATACTCTCTCCGGACGATGCATCTCCACTCGTGAATAACAAATAAGTGGACAACTAGACATCCAAAGTAATGGTGAAACAATCGTCGAATCTGAAGCCAATTCTTGGTACTCAACATCATTGGTGTTATATGGCATCCAAATGAACTGTAAAAAATATTAGGACATTGCGAATATTATCAACATCATTATCAACAACATTATCAACAATATGGAAAAAAAATATTATCAACATTATTAGCAAATTCACGAACCTGGTTTGGCAACATTTGATCAAGCATTGTTCTATATATGCGAACTGAATGACTAGCGGTGTGAACATAACTCAAAAGATGCAACCAACTGCAATGTGTTATGCAAAATACGTATATTAAAACAATGCATATATTAAGTGTAGAGTTAATTGAAAGATTTGAAATTATATGGAATCAGTTATAGTTAGAGTATTACCGTGCACCATATGGAGGTACTCGAAATACATCATCCGCATTTAGTTGAAGCACCGTAATTGGATCGTAATCTCTAAGCGGTTTTGGTATTGGTGCTATATGGCGAATTCTCGTCCATGCCCACAACTGTAGTAGCTGCATCGGACCTCCAACAACATCCCTACGCTCTCCTCGAAGTGTCGCCTTGCATAGCTCGTGATACAATACCGCCAATGCGGCACTACCCCAACTATATGAACGAACTGCATCGATGTCCTCAAAATGCTTCAAATACATCAAAGGTATAGCATTTCCGGTGCTATCTGGAATCATAATCCCACCAAATAGCATGAATGCCAATGCTCGAGTAAATTGAGCAACACGTACATCTGAACTTTGATCGTTGACAGAATTGTCAACCAAGTAGTTTGTAAGGGCCAAAACCTTTAATTTCCCTCCCCTAAGATAATTAGGTTCTGGACGAAAACCTAATAAGGCCTCACAATAGTCGATCCAAGCAGTTGTACAATACGTATAATCAGTACCGATGACTGGAATCCCATCTATAGGTAGGCCCCACAATAAAACAATATCTTGCAGAGTAATTGTCGCCTCACCGACGCGAAAATGAAAGGTGTGTGTCTCCTCTCGCCATCTCTCGATCAAAGCAGTTATGAGATGAAAATCAACCTTCATGCGTCTACACCGATATACGCCATAAAATCCCATTGTATATATCAATTGCATCACTCGAGGATGAGGAGCACACCCGCCGGGAATAAGGTCCAAACACCATGATCAGCGCGTCTAGCACGCACAACATCGTCGATATTTGCCTCACCCAAATCACTTGATCTATGTCGACCTTGTAGACGTAGCAATGAAGTATTGCGAGGGCCATATACCTCCTTCATCAGTGCATCCATCTAACAAAATAATTAAATAAAAAATATTAGACATACAATAAACATATATTATAAAATCATATTAGACATAAATATATTAGACATGTAATAAACATATTATAAAGATATATTAGACATACAATAAACACATATTATAAAAACATATTACACATAAAGATATTATGCTTAATAAACACACAATCTATTACAATAAGCGAACATACGCTAGCGCACACAATGTTTCAAAAATAGTTAAACATAGCCTTAATGAACACACAAAGTTTCGCAAATAATTAAACAGAGACATAATCACTACACAATCTTCTTGCTTAAACATTTTCATTTCGTCTTGCTTGTTGTCTCGCACGTGTTTGCGGTATATCCATTTCATTTGTATAACGAGTAGAACGTCTTCTGCCAACTCGTGTTGCGTGACGCAATGTCGGATCGTGGAATAGTTGAAAATCAGCATCCTCCCAATAAGCTTCGCTTAAAAGAGGATGAAACACTCCATTGTATGTAGAGGAATAGTGAGAAAGGCTATAGTACTTGTGCACAAAGGCCGAGGCATCCAAATGATAATCACGACAAACGTGTTGGACATGAGAGCACGGGATCCCGAATTCACACCACTTTCCACATGTGCATTCTCTTGTTCTAATGCTCACGGAATGTGTGTTGTTTCCACCTCCGGCCGTAGAGGCCCTTGATATTACCTCAGCCGATTGGAGTTGTTGATTAAACATCCATGTAACATGGTCCACTGATTCTTTTTCCCATTTTGTGAACATCGTATGGGCATAATCTGACCATCGTTGTCCTGAACTACGCATTCGTAGATGTTTCGCAACACGAAGCCGAAACATCTTAACGGCATTGTGGAAAGAATAATCAACTATAGCAGTTGGGGGCAGCTTGCGAGCACCTTTCAAGACTCCGTTAATTGCTTCTGAGATATTTGTCGTCTTTTGACCGCAACGCAATCCTCCGTCGTAAACTAAAGTCCATCTCTCTTTGTCAATAGCCATCAAGTAGTTGTACGCCTGAATATTTTTAGATCTAGTCTGGTCCATGACTCGATCAAATTTGGTCGTTACATGTACCGACCCAGCCTTCCAACACAAATCTTTCAGCCTGATACTTCTAAAGTGGGAGTTGAAATTCGAACAAATATGTCTGAGACAAAAACGATGGACAAATCGGGTAGGCAATGTCTCAATAGCAGCAAGAATTCCAGGTGCCCCGTCAGAGATTAAACATGTTGTAGTAGTCTCCGCAATCCTCGAAAATATATGTTGGTTTAGCATCGCGAAAAACCAAGTCCATGCACTCGTCGTTTCTTCATCCACTATAGCAAATCCAAGTGGCAGCACTTGTTGATTGGCATCCAAGCACGTGGCAATCAACAACTTGTGTTTGTACTTTGTGTATAGATGAGTTCCATCCACACTAATAACTGTGCAACAGAAGTTGAATCCATCTAGGCATGGCTTGAAGGCCCAAAAGACATACTTGATCACTTTCTGGCTTGGATGATTCATCGGCTTACTCTGCCACTCCACAATCGTTCCGGGATTACTCATTTGCAATGCTTTCATGTACTTGGGTAACTTCGCGACAGAGCTCTCCCAAGTACCAAATATGTTATCCCTGCAACGTCTTAAACTGTACCACGCCTTCTGGTATGAGATTTCAAATCCCAATTCAGTATACACAAGTTGTTTGGCTACTGAAACTTCGCAAGATGGTTTTTCACGAACTGTTTTAACCAATATTGCAGAAATGTAATTCATGTCCAAAGTACAATGGTTGGTAGACATTCTGCCCATAACACAAGTGTGATCTCCACCATACTTCGTGATCACCCAATAATGTCTACCGGCTTTCTCCGACCCTCGCAACCACCAACCGCAAGGTGTTCTTTCACTGTTATGTTTGCATTTCACCTTCCAATACGTTGGTTTACTTTCGACCACCTTGTACTCTCGTTTAGCGAACCGAATAGAGTGGTCTTTCACTGCAGCAATGAGTCGTTCTTTACTCTTGAAAATCATCCCTTTTTCAAGAACACCTTCATCGGCATCGTAAAACTTTGACAATCGCCCGTCTGGAATATCAAATGATTCCGCCATCATTTCTTCATAATCCATTGAGTAGAAAGGTATTGGCTCGTACAAGTGAGGTTGGTTTTGGGTTGGTGCAACTGATGGCATATTATGAGGAACATTGGCAACATTCTCACCGTCATCATGGTCATGGTCCCCGTCGACGTTGTCGTAATCTTCTTGATCGGATGGTTCTGAGTCAACAGGAGGATCGACCCCAAAGAAATCTCTCGGTATGTCTGTTAAATCTTCTGTTGGCTCATTTGTATTGGGGTCCCGGATTTCTCTCCTTGTGCTCGTCTCCCCACGATTTCCACCACCAAAATTTGTCGGAGGTGCAGATATTCCAGCACCAAAATTCATAAATTGCATGCTAGAAAATCCTTGTGTGACAGCAACCACTTCCGGACTCAATTGTGAGACTATGTTGTATGGCTCATTCAGATCGAAAGTTAATTGTGGAGGCGGTCCATTATTGTATAATGGGATGGTTTGAACAAAAATGTCCATTGAATCATTCCCTTCTTCCGGATCAAGAAACATTTCCAAATCTTGATCCGTACTAATTTCACACAGCATTGATTTAACCCTATCCCCATACAAGCGAAAAAGTTTTCCCCGAACTTTCAGAGTGAACCTAGTATTGTCTATTTCAAATCGTTCGTACAAGTTCGATAATAGTAGTTGGAAAGAAGTATCCCTTCTAATTCGAAAAATTGCTTTGTGAGGACAATCGTATTCCACCGACCAATCATCTTGAATTATATTACCCCCGATATACACGATTACTTTGACTCGGCTCTTATTAGGTGCCATTAAATTCACCTAATTTTTATGGTGAAAACAAATATAATTAATTAAAAATTTTATTATCAAACAATTAATATTAAAATTCTTTAACCCAAACCACATAATTATACTATGCTAATAATTATACTATACCACATTTTACGCAATGAATAACATGTCATAAATTTTTAAAAAGCACTTTAAAATACCTGAAATTAGTATATGATTAGATGTTAAACAATCCCTTTGTTCTTCGGATACAACTCGATCCTCCCGTTCAATTGCAATCTAACAAAAAAAATAGTACAAGTTGAAAAACAATTCACACAAAAAATTTGAAAACACACACTACTCAATTATATATTATTTTAGGAATTATGCTCCTACCAAAAAACAAGTTGAAAACTAACTACTTTTATAAAAATGGAACTAGAATGTAAAATTACCTAAAATTATCTATATATATTTTATATATTAAACTCACGAATTAAATTTCTATATATATTTAATTAAATTTTAAGTATAACTTTAAATTAAGCAAACAACATCATTAAATTGGTTCTTTTCTTCAACCCACACACTATGAAATAACTCAACAAATAAAACACGAAAAAAAGTACATTCATTTTTTTACAAATTAAAATGAAAAAATTACATACACTAAACATATTATAACATACCTTCGTATTTTTACTTTCACCTTCTGCAAAAGAAATTAAAATTAGTACAATATTTTGAAAACAAATTAAAAAACGAAAAATTATAAAACTAACTAAACATACCTGTATTTTATAATTTCTTGTTACAAAACTGTAAATAAACAGATTAAGTCAATATAACATTATAATAACAACCCTGTATTTTAAAAACATTAAACAACGTTATTTAAAATAAAAAAGTTAAAAAAGTTGTTAAAGAAAAAATATGGTTTCACAGAATACCTGGTGGTTTACGTGTAGTACAACGCTTGTCGCCCTGGGCCAG